GGGACGGAGTTTCGCTCGTTACCCAGGCTGGAGTGCAATGGCACGATCTCGGCTCACCGCAACCTCCGCCTCCTGGGTTCAGGCAATTCTCCTGCCTCAGCCTCCCGAGTAGCTGGGATTACAGGCACGCACCACCATGCTCAGCTAATTTTTGTATTTTTAGTAGAGACGGGGTTTCAACTTGTTGACCAGGATGGTCTTGGTCTCTTGACCTCGTGATCCACCCGCCTCGGCCTCCCAAAGTGCTGGGATTATAGGCGTGAGCCACCGCGCCCGGCCAGTAAAGTTTCTTAATAAGAAACCAATGTACATACAATCAAAGAAAAAATATCTATATTAAACTTTATTAAAATTAAAAACTCATGCTTCAAAGATCACCAAAAAGAAAGTGAGAAGGGCACAGTGGTTCACCCCTGTAATGCCAGAACTTTGAGAGGCTGAGGCAGGAATATTGCTTGAGCCCAGGAGTTTGAGACCAACCAGAGGAACATGGTGAAACCCTGTCTCTACAAAAAACACAAAAATTACCCGGGCGTGATGGTGCATGTCTGTAACCCCAGCAACTTGGGAGGCTGAGGCAGCAGAATCAGTTGAACACAGGAGGCAGAGGTTGTAGTCAGCCGAAATGGCACCACTGCACTCCAGCCTGGGTGACAAGAGCGAAAGTCCATCTCAAAAATAAATAAATACAAAATAAAAGTAGGCGAAGGTAGGCCGGGTGCAGTGGCTCACACCTGTAATCCCAACACTTTGGGAGGCCAAGATGGGATGATCACCTGAGGTCAGGAGTTCGAGACCAGCCTGACCAACATGGTGAAACCCCATCTCTACTAAAAATACAAAAATTAGCTGGGCGTGGTTGCAGGTGTCTGTAGTCCCCACCTAGTTGGGAGGATGAGGCAGGAGAATGGCTTGAAACCAGGAGGCAGAGGTTGCAGTGAGCCAAGATGGCGCCACTGTACTCTAGCCTAGGTGATAGAGCCAGACAGTCTCCACATACACCAAAAAAAAAAAAAAGGCAAAGGGGGCGGGGCACAGTGGTTCACAGCTGTAATTCTAGCACTTTGGGAGGCTGAGATGGGTGGATCACCTAAGGTCGGGTGTTCAAGACCAGCCTGGCCAACATGGTAAAACCCAGTCTCTACTAAAAATACAAAAATTAACCAGGTGTGGTGGTGCACTCCTGCAATCCCAGATACTCAGGAGGCTGAGGCAGGAGAATTACTTGAACACAAAAGGCGGAAGTTGCAGTGAGCTGAGATCATACCAGTGCATTCCAGCCTGGGCAACACAGTGAGACTGTTCTACCCCAACCCCCAAAAAAGTGGTCTGAATTGTTTTTACTCACAGCACTACTGATTTCTGGGCTTTTCCCATGCTAACAACCAGTTCTGACACCAACTGGGTATCCTACTATTCATTTCTGACACTACTCAGAATCAGCATAGCACTACAGGTTAATGCCATTGCCTCCACTGCAGGTGCCAGTCACAAGTCCCAGGTTTCCACCTGTACTTCTGACCAACGTGCTATAAACTGGGGGATCCCAAAATCCCCCTGAGGAGGGCCTCATGTTTGATTATCTACTAATACGACTCAGGAAGGTACTTCACTTACCATTAACTTCCAGGGAGGGGAGAGGGACTGAAAGTTGTTAATATCCAGTGGCCAATGATTCAATCAATCATGCATATGTGATGAGACCTCCATAAAACCCCCCAAAAATGGGGTTTGGAAGGCATCCAGGTTGCTGTAAACATGGAAGTGATGTGGGGAGGGGTGTGCTAGAGAAGGCATTGCCCTATGTATCTCTTCCATCTGGCTGTTCATTTGTATCCTTTAAAATATCCTTTATAATAAAGTAAGTACACTTTTAGTGGGTTATGTGAGCCCTCTAGCAAATTATCAAACCCAAGGAAGGAGGTCTGGGAACCTCCAATTTGTAGCCAAGACTAACAGGTGTTGTGGTTCATCCAGAGACCTACTACCTGGTTGGCATCTGAAGTGGGAGGCAGTCTTGTGGAAGTGAGCCCCTCACCTGCGGGGTCTATGCTAACGCAGGTTACTGTCAGAACTGAGGACAATTTTAGGGCATATGTCTGCTGAGAATAGGAGAATTGTTCGGTATAGGGAAAAAAAAATCCACACCATCTAGTCACAGACGTGTTCTGTGTTGAGAGTGCAGTATGAGAAAACAGCTTGTTTTCTTCTACCATATGGCTTGCTATCAAAGTATTGAGAGTAGAGTGAATATGAAGGAGTATAAAGAAGGAAAAAATGTTTTTCCGATCACATGCCTTGGTCCTTCTGGCAACCAGCCCAGAAAGAAGCTACCTAGGGGCTCCTAGACACCAGTTGACTCATTAGCATACAAAATCTCTTCTCACTCCAGGGGTTCCAAGAGTTTTGGGAGCTAATGTGCAAGAAACAGGGTATAAAGACCAAACTTTTTATTTATTTTTATTTAGTTTTATTTCAGGTCCCTTTGACCAGATAAAGACCAAATTTTTTTGTGTTTTTGAGATGGAGTCTTGCTCTGTCGCTCAGGCTGGCGTGCAGTGGTACAATATTGGCTCACTGCAACCTCCATCTCCTGGCAGGTTCAAGTGATTCCCCTGCCTTAGTCTCCTGAGTAGCTGGGACGACAGGTGCGTGCCACCATACCTGGCTAATTTTTATATTTTTAGTAGAGACAGGATTTCACCATGTTGGCCAGGCTGGTCTTGGACTCCTGACCTCAAGTGATCTGCCCGCCTCAGCCTCCCAAAGTGCTGGGATTACAGGCATGAGCCAACACACTGGTTACTTATCTATTTTTTACTATATCATAGTAGAAACAACCAAATATATCCATCAAAACTGATAAATGGGCAGGGTGGGGTGGGCATAGTGGCTCACATCTGTAATCCCAGCACTTTGGGAGGCCGAGGCGGGTGGACCACAAGGTCAGGAATTCAAGACCAGGCTGGCCAACATGGTGAAACCCCATCATCTCTACTAAAAATAATACAAAAATTAGCCAGGCGTGGTGGCAGGGGCCTGTAATCCCTGCTACTCAGGAGCCTGAGGCAGGAGAATTACCTGAACCCAAGAGGTGGACACTGCAGTGAGCCAAGACTGCACCACTGCTCTACAGCCTGGGTGACAGAACAAGACTCCGTCTCAAA